GGCGCCTGCAGTCCCAGCTACTTGGGAGGCTGAGGCAGGAGAATGGCGTGAACCTGGGAGGCAGAGCTTGCAGTAAGCTGAGGTCGCGCCACTGCACTCCAGCCTGGACGACAGAGTGAGACTCCGTCTCAAAAAAAAAAAAAGTAAAGAATTGGGAGTCCTTGTGGACAGAGTTTCTACATTTACAAAGATATATACAGGGAAACGTTTTCCTTATGAATGGGAGAGTATTTATTTTTATTTATCAGTGTACCCTGGAGACTGTTCTCTGTCAGTACAGAGCCTGCTTCGTGGTTTGATTTTAGAGCTGCGTAAGTTTCTTTGTTGGCTGTAGCGTCATTTATGTAATGAGTCTCCTACTGATGGACTCTCAGAATGTTTGCAGTCCTTTGCTGTTGCAAACAGAACTGTAAGGAAGTAACCTTGTACAGTCATTCTGCACAGTATGGGTGTCTGTTGGAGGAGTTCCTGCAGGTGGAATTGTAGGATCAAAGGATGTGTGCAGGCCAGGTGCAGTGGCTCACCCCTGTAATCCCAGCACTTTGGGAGGCTGAGGTGGGCGGATCACCTGAGGCCACGAGTTTGAGACCAGCCTGGCCAACGTGGTAAAACCCCGTCTGTACTAAAAATACAAAAATTAGCCAGGCATGGTGGTGCACACCTGTAATCCCAGTTACTCGGGAGGCTGAGGCTGGAGAATTGCTTGAACTTGGGAGGCGGAGGTTACAGTGAGCAGAGATCATGCCATTGCACTCCAACCTGGGTGAGAGTGAAACTCCATCTCGAAACAAAAGAAAACAAAAACAGAAAAAGATGTGTGCAATTGAGGTGTCAATGGATGCCATCAAAAGGCCCTCCACTGAATTGGTACCAATGTGCGCCACCTCCCCCAACCCCAAGCCAGATGCTGGAGCCGCCTGTTTCTCCACCAACGAGGTGGAAAGATGGGTGCCAACCTGGATCTCACTGTAGCGGAACCAGTCTTTAAAGTACAGAGTTGGCTGGGTTTAGGGTGGGGGTTCGTAGGGGATTCTTGTCTCTCTTCCTTGTGTCAGTGCCTCTGAGATGTGTCCTCTGTCCTTGTCTGTGTCTCCACAGAGCAAGCTGGTGAAGTACTTCAGCCGGCAGCTGTCCTGCAAAAAGAAGGTGGCCTTGCAGGAGCGCAACGCGGAGCTGGATGGCTTCCCCCAGCTACGGCACTGGTTCCGGATCGTCGATGTGCGCAAGGAAGTCCTGGAGGTGACCTGGGGGGCCCCTGTGTCCCCTGCCCCTTCCTGGCCAGCAGCTACCCCCTGGGTTGCTCTTGGGCTGCAGGTTTCTGGCTGTGCACAGCACAGTCCCTGGCACATAGCAGGCTTTTAATAAATATGTGCTGGACGAAAACATTCAGGATGACTGGTGCTGTCTGAATGGGGTCATCGAGAGTGTGCTTCCCGAGTCAGTCAGAACCCTTCAGCTCTGCCACATATTCACAGAGTCACCTTAGCTAAATCACTTCACCTCTTAGTCCAGCGCTGTCCAGTGGAACTTTCTGCTACGATGGGAATATTTTCTATCTGTGCTGCCGGATGTGGTAGCCGCTTGTGGTTAGGACATGTGATTAAGGAACTGAATTTTAAATTGTGTTTAACATTAATTAATGGGGCCCGTGGAAGCCATATTGAACAGTACTGTCTTAGAGCATTAATATTCTCATCTGTGAAATGTGCATAGTGATTGTCATCTCTTCTTAAATAGCCAACATCATAGAATGAGATGATTTTTATACAATGTTCAACTCAGCTGGGCACAGTGGCTCATGCCTGTAATCCCAGCACTTTGGGAGGCCAAGGCAGATGGATTGCTTGAGCACAGAAGTTTGGGACCAACCTGGGCAACATGGTGAAACCTCTACAAAAAATACAAAAATTAGCCAGATGTGGTGGTGCGTGCCTGTGGTCCCAGCTACTTGGGAGGCTGAGGCAGGAGGATCACCTGAGCCCAGGAGGTTGAGGCTACGGTGAGCTGTGATCATGCACTCCATCCTGGGTGACAGAGTAAGACCCTGTCTCAAAAAAGAAAAGAAAAGAAAAGAAAGGCCAGGTGCGGTGGTTCATGCCTGTAATCCCAGCACTTTGGGAGGCTGAAGTGGGCGAATCGCTTGAGGTCAGGAGTTCGAGACCAGGCCAACATGGTGAAACCACGTCTGTACTAAAAATACAAAAATCAGCCAGGTGTGGTGGTGCACACCTGTAGTCCCAGCTACTCGGGAGGCTGAGGCAGGAGAATTGCTTGAACCCAAGAGGCAGACATTACAGTGAGCTGAGATTGCATCACTGCATTCCAGCCTGGGTGACAGCACAAGATTCTGCCTCAAAAAAAAAAAAAAAAAAAAAAAAAAAAGGTTTAGCTCATATTCTGGCACCAAATAGCATTCAGTAGATGCCAGGCTATTACTGCTGTGAGCATCTGACATCTTATGTCCACCCACAAAGATTGGACCACGTTCTTAACATCTTGAGGATAGTGAGATTTTCTTACCCCCTGGGATCCCAGAGACTGATCCATTTGCAGTGACAGGGCCAAGCCAAACCTAATAAAACCAGCGGACATCACTGCATCTTTCATGCTAGGCATTGTGCTAAGGGCTTTGCACTTAGGATCTCAACTGCTGAGGCTGTTCAGCCTCCTCGCAATGACCTTTTCAGTAGGTGTGACTGTTATCCCCTTTGTACAGAGTGGGAAACTGAGGCTCAGAGCTAAGTGACTAGTCTAGCTGGTAAGTGGATGGGGCTGGCGGGATGTCCAGCTCAGATGGACAACAAAGCTTTAGGTTGGAAGGACTGTGCCTTAGCCTTGTTTCCTGTTGCCTGGGCCTCCCTGAACTGGGCAGAAGAGGAGCTTGCCCCCCTGCCAGTGAAACCAAGAGCCCTCTCTCAAGGTGCTCCCTGCCTCCTGCTTGAAGAGGCTTCCTGTCTTTTTTAGACCTTGTCCGCAGGGACAAGAATCTCACCCAGCCCCACCAGATCTAAGAATCCCGAGTCAGATGCGGCATCATCCCGCTCCATTCCTCCAGGCCCCCACCCCACCCCATCTTGCATATGCACATCAGACCATGCACAATTCCATGTTTCCTTATTTCATTCTCAGCATGGCCAGAGAACCCAGATGAGTTTCTTGCAAATATCCTTAGAATGAATGGTCCTGTATAAGGACAGATGGCGTTGTGTTTGCACGGCTCAGGGAATTTTTTTGGGAGGCTTCAGGATCATTTGTCTATCAAGTGCTACTTGTGGGAGCAAATAAGGCAGAAACGATTCTAGACCAGGGGCTGAAAACTGGTGGCCCTCAGGCTGGATCAGCTATGCAGACATTTTGTTGTTGTTGTGTGGCTAATATGATGCCAGGACATTTATTTTGAGCCAGTACTTAAAAACCGAAAGAGTCTGCCTAAAAATCCCAGATCTCTGGCTTCACTCACAAAATCAGAAATGTTGACCATGGAACTGAGCTCCTGTCTGGCAGCGACTTGCTCATTTACATTTACCTGGCCTGCAGGTACCTGAGTTTTGGCTGTTGCCTTAGTCAGTGAGCATCTTGAGTCCAAGGTCACCACCCAGGGAGTGGGCGGGAGAAGATGAGGGGTTTCTGCTCTTTGTCTGCAGTTCAGGCATGTGTCCACCAGAGGTCCCCTTTCTGTGAAGTGACTGAAGTATGGAGAAAGCTCCAAAGTAAAACCGCTGGGTTTGAATCCTGGCTCCACCAATTACTTGCTGTGTGACCTTAGGCAAGTGGTCTAACCTTTCTGAATTTTACTGTCCTAGTCTCTAAGTGGTGGTGATAAAAGTGCCTACTTTCAGTAGTCTTTGTGATAATAAAGGAAATCTATCAAAAACCTTAAAACAGTGTTCCATCCATTTCAGCTATTGTTACTACTATTATTTTATCAAACAGAGGTGTGTCTGCCCTTTTGGCCCAGATTGTTAAGGGTTTCTCCATTTTTGATGTTATAAAAATGTTACTTTTATGATTTTCTGTGATCTTAAACTTCAGAGTAAATTGAAATTATATATATGTAAATCATAAGGTTAAAATGCACAAGTGAATCCTGAATCAAAGAGGAGAATCCTTTTATGTTATGAATCACCCCCTTCAAATGTGAGTCATTCTGTACCTTCAGATCCTAGACAGGGTGCAATGGCTCATGTCCGTAATCTCAACACTTTTGGAAACCGAGGTGGGAGGATCGCTTGAGGCCAGGAATTCGAAACCAGCCTGGGCAACATAGTGAGATCCTATCTCTACAAAAAATTTAAAAATTAGCCAGGCATGGTGGTGCATGCCTGTAGTCCCAGCTACTCAGGAGACTGAGGTGGGGGGGTCGCTTGAACCCGGGAGTTTGAGGCTGCAGTGAGATACGATGGCGCCACTGCACCCCAGCCTGGGTGACAGAGTGAGCCCCTGTCTCTGTTTAAGAAAAACAACAACCAGAAACAAACAGGTCCTTGATCATCACCTTTCTTAAAGGGGCTCATCTGCAATGTGTCCCTATTTGAGAAAGCCTCTAAGTGACTCCACTATTGTTCTCTCTCTGCCCCCTGCCTGCCCTGGTGAGTTGAAAAGGCACTGATTGGGCTTCGACTTTTGCGCCATAGCTCATATTTTTGAAGATAATTTTTTGTACTGAGACAGTTTTCTTCTTTCTGGCTATCAGTTTAATGTGGGAGCTGTATCTTGTTGTAATACACAAACATGTAATACACAAACATGACCACAAGAGGGTAGATGTATTCTGCAATACTGCCCTAGAATCACCATCCATATGCTATTTCACCCTTATTTACTTTGGGAGGCTGAGGTGGGCGGATCACCTGAGGTCGGGAGTTTGAGACCAGCCTGGCCAACATGATGAAACCCCGTCTCTACTTAAAATACAAAAATTAGCCAGGTGTGGTGGTTGGTGGCTGTAATCCCAGCTACTTAGGAGGCTGAGGCAGGAGAATCGCTTGAACCCAGGAGGCGGAGGTTGCAGTGAGCTGAGATCATGCCATTGCACTCCAGCCTGGGAGACAAGAGTGAGACTCTGTCTCAAAAACAAAAAACAAAACAAAAAACCTTTACTTAAGTAATAATATATGTTAAGATGCACTCCAGCCTGGGCGACAGAGCGAGACTCCGTCTCAAAAAAAAAAAAAAAAAAAAAGATGTTGAGTAGTAAGTGCTATAAAAGAAGACTCATATATACATACAGATATATATGCATAAATATAGAAGCTTGACAAATTTTGAGGTGTCTCCATATGATGGTGTCTAGGGAGACACTGTTTTGGGAAGATGGGGTGGCGGTGAAAGTTCGCTTGCCAGCACGTTGAGAATCCTACCTTTTCTAGGTCCCTTTCCCCAACTCCACGCTACACTCCAGCATTTCTGCTTTGCCTTAGGATGCAAAGCCATGCCCCATGGGGCTCAAAAACAAACCTAGTTTCATTTCCAGCATGGAGCACGGACCTTCAATCCCTTTCCCATTAGGTTTCCTGAAGACCAGTGTGAGGCCTGGACTCTGCAGCCGGAGAAGAAAGGAAGCAGAGTGGGGCCCAGCCATCAGCGCACCTGCCTTTTCCTGTGCTTGCTCTGAGTGTGTGCTGGGATTTCAGATGAGTCCCTGCAGAGCAGGAGGCACTGGGAGCCATGCAAACATGAAAAAATGGGGCCCTGGCTTATAAACATTCGAGAGACAGGCACAGTGTTGACACCAGACAGGGTAGTAATTATAATAGCACTAAGCACCTGCGCTACCTTGCCAAGTGTGAACACTTAGGATTCCCACTTTATAGATGAGTAAAGTGAGGCCCAGAGAGGTTGAGCGACTGGTCAGAGGTTATCTAGCTAATGAGTGGCAAACCGGAGATTCGGAGACCCCACTGTTGTGCAAAGCGTTTGCACGGCGGAGTGTTCTCCTTTAGGCACCACTAGAGGGCGGGCTGGAGGCAGAGAGGCTGTTCTTGCCCCATCGTTGACAATCCTCTCTCCCCTCCCCTAGGAAATCTCCCCGGGCCAGCTGAGCCTGGAGGACCTCTTGGAGATGACGGATGAACAGGTGTGCGAGACTGTGGAGAAATACGGAGCCAACCGGGAGGAGTGTGCCCGCCTCAATGCCTCCCTCTCCTGCCTCAGGAATGTCCACATGTCAGGTGAGCAGGCCCTGGGGCCGGGGATGTGGAGACATGTCCCCAGAACAGCTGCCACGGTCCCTCGGCATCCTGTGCCTGCCACTGCAGGCCAGGACGAGACAGTCAACCCTGGGGGGCAAATGTGACACGCAGGAAGAGGCAGCATGGACCTGGGATTTGGAGGCCGGAAGATGCCGACAAGGGCAGTTCTTGGGTTTGAACTCTTGCCCCAGGACGACCTGCTGAGGTTTAGGGTATCTGGTGCTGGATAATTAGGGTCCGGACATGAAAATGTTGAGTGTGTGTAGGAGACCAGTTCTTTTTACTTTAGACATGTTGAAGTGCCTTTGCATTTTGGGTCAATGTCTAGCTTCTATTTTTTTATTTTTATTTTTTTACAGAAGTGATTTGCATTCATTGTAACATAAACCAGAAAATAGATTTTTAAAAAAATCGCCCTAAGCCCCACCCTCTAGGTAACTGCTGTTATCATTTTGGTATAATTTTTCCTGACAAATGGATATATGTTTACTTTAAAAAACAGAATTAGAATTATCCGTACATATTGCTTAAAATTTTTTTTTTCACCTGATAAAATAACCTCTGTGACTTGTATCAGTTTGGGGGCCAAATATATTGTCATCCCTCCTGGATGTTTTCCATTAATTGCTCAGATACCCATTTGTCTTTATTAGCAGAACATCAAATATCATCTTCCTGAGGCTTCCTGCTTCTCTCTAGCCTCATGATTTATCTGCAAATTCTGGGGCCTTTCTGTCCCAAGGGATGCGCTCTGCAAACGCCAGCCACGGAGAAGTGTTAGTGACCATCAGCACGGTTGTTTCAGTTCCCACCACAAGGTGTCACTGTTGAGCATCAGTCTGGCAGAGTCAGGTGGAGGCTCTCGGATGCCCTTGCTTGATTCAACCTGCTCTATTCAACAAGCATTTGTTGAATATTGTTCTAGACCTGGAGAAGTCTTCTAATCTGAGTGGCTATGGGGTGCCAGCAGGGCTGAGGAGGCAGCAGTGAACAAAACAGAACATACTTGAAACAGGTCATTGGCCTAGTCCTCCATGCGTGCCCTTTTGTATTTTTTTCTTGCTGGCAGATCCTGATTCAGGTACAGTCAGCATCAAAAGGGATCATGCAGCTGGGCACACTGGCTCATGCCTGTAATCCCAGCACTTTGGGAGGCCAAGGCAGGAGGATCTCTTGAGCTCAGGAATTCCAGACCAGGCTGGGCAAATGGCAAAACCCCATCTCTACAAAAAATACAAAAAAAAAGTGCCGTGTGTGGTGGCACACACCTGTAGTCCCAGCTACTTGGGAGACTGAGGCTGGTGGATCACTTGAGCCCAGGACATTGATTGAGGCTGCAGTGAGCCATGATCACACTGCTGCACTCCAGCCTGGGTGACAGAGCAAGATCCTGTCTCAAAAATAAAGTGGGGGCGGACCATGCACTGGGGGCTGTCTTATGCCTTGAAGGATGTTTGGTTAGAAGCATCCTTGACCTCTGCCCATGAGATACCAGTAACATCCCCCAACTCAAAGTCATGACACACGGAAATATCCCCAGAT